TTTAACATCCTTAGGTAAATTAGGCAGCTTCGCAACTAATGACCCTTACTTTGGCAATATAAACATATGGACCCTTTGATAATGGTACACGGGACTATCACAGACTTAGCTTTTCTCTTTACCATTTGTTCAACCGAGTTGACTATGGCCGATCCCTTTCCATTGGGAAGAGAATGCTTTTCTGGATTTCCTGTGTCACTATTGTCAATGTCCATAAAGTTTCAGGAAGTTGATCTTAGCAAATAGATAAGATCATTAAGGGTCTTGTCATAGTCTGTTTCATAGGTGTTCCAAAAGAACTCACTATGTGACTTAGAAAGTGATTGAACCACCAACTTTCTCAAGACTTTGACACCCAACTCTCCCGGCTTGTCAATATGTGACTACATCTCCAAGATGTGATCACACCTAGACCTTGCCTTGCCAATAGGGCTTGAGTGACCTTAAACTTTTCAAGAACTTGTGGGTTAGGGAGAATAATTGGAGGAGGAGAAAGAAGTATGATATCCATGGGACATCATCTTCATTAGGAAAGCTTGTTTCAAGAGATTTGGGAAGATCATAAATGTCTAAACCAGACATGTTTGGGAGATATTCAAGATAGTTGATCTTTGAGTCCTTAATATGACACCCAATATGAAATATTAAGGCTAGGACCCAACAAACTATTTTATAACTTAGAAGAGGTATGCCGTAATCCAAGCTATAAAACAATTTGAAGGTAGGTGAATGACGATTCACCAATTTCCACCAAGATAAACGAAATGTATTATTAGGTTTTAATTGGTTTTGAAACTCCTAGATCTTTTGAGATTCATTGAACTGTTCAATGGCATGTTTCAATCTCGAGTGTGCCCTTCAGGTTTTGTGACTGGGATGCCGAGGATCACAAAACAAGGTGTGAAGTAACCATGCAAATTACTGGTACCCTTAAGTGTTTATCCCTCAATCGATGTGCCGGTTAACCACACACGCTCCATCGATACTATGATAAACATTAAGTTACCCTTTGCCTACCTTGTTAAATACGAGTTAGTGTGCCGGTTAACCACACACGCTCCACTAACCGACTTAAACAAAGTGCAAAGTGTAATTTCATGGATTAGCACCTTATTCACATTTTCCTAAGTAACTAAGATTGGGATTATTAAGAGTTTAGTTACTTAGTATTTATCATTAATACTTTTAATGAAGGGAGAATTATAGTCATGTCAAACCCGTTCGGCTAACGACCCTCCACCAGTCAAGCAAGCGGTGGGTGAGAGTGGACACCCATTAAGTTGCCATTTTATAGGCAACAACCTTATACCCACCTTATAGACCGGCTTCGTGAATGAGGCGTACTAGCGGTAAGACCGACTTTACTCTTATACATATATATATTATTAACTTATAATATTATAAAGTATAAGGGTTGAATTTTAACTTTTAAAATTCTAAGGGCTAACTTGGAATTAAAGTATTCATAAGAGAAAACTTTACAAATTCCAAAACTTGAGGGCAAGTTTTGAAACTATTCAAAACTAATTAATTCCATAACTTATGTATTTAAAGTAGTTTTAATCCAAAAACTCTTCAAGTTCCATAACTTGTGGACAAATTATGGAAGACTTTAAACTAATAAAGAATTAATTTTTCTTTATTTTATAACTTATGGAATTAATTAAGGTTACATATTTTATTTATTTATTTATTAATGAAGTGACTCTTGAACCTCCATAACTTAAGGACAAGACTCTTCATTTTTTGTAACCTTTGCCAACTTTATGAGTTTTATGAGTCTTTAATGTGACTCTTCATGTAACTTAAGGATAAGTTACACAAACACATTTTATACTCAACTCTTAGATTAATTTGGATTGAAAACAACTTTTTCACTCAACTTTTCTATTAATCTAAGCAACTCATAAGAACAAGATAATTCAAATCAAACTTTTTCATGTAATTAGTCTAACCTTTAAACTAATACAAAACATGAATCTATTGACAATTATCTTTGAAAATGGATTAGCATGAACATTACCACATTTAAAAACAAGTTTATAAGTTCAAAACAACTTAGGGTAATGTTCCTAGTCCATTTCTAGCCAAAAACCTCGAAGATATGCTGTCTGGGGTCCAACTCGTCGAGTGCATGAACACAACTCGGCGAGTTGGATGCATTTTGCCTTGGACTCGTCGAGTCCCTTCATGGACTCGGCGAGTCAGCTGGGCTGACAGCATCAAAACTCGATTTTTCAGCTTCTATTGCAGGTATAACAAGAAAACAAGCCTAGGCTCTGATACCACTGTTGGGTTATGAGCATTCTAACACTCCTAAGTGTACATGCAACCCTAAATACCTTGGATCTATGTTTTCTCTATTATACATGCAAATATGAACATCCAAGGTATTATCCTAATCTAGCATACAAAATATCAATATAACAAGATAGAATACATACCTCTTCAATGGTGCTTGTCTTCATGAAGCTTGAGTGCTTAGTGCCCCAAGTGTGACACCTCAAATGGTTCACACAACACCATAAGCACTTGGAATAACTTAGAGAAAATTAGAACACTTCATGAAATCGTGTAGCCCTCATACATACACATAGTGTTAGTCATAGACACGATTTCTTGAGCCATGGGTTTCTTTTATATGGTGGCTATTAGGGTTACACCATGTAACTCATGACTTTACCCATTCCTTATGGTCCATGGATTTTAACCTCCATGGAGTATCCATGGGTCACCCCATGGACTTAGTCCAACATAAGGAATCTTGGATCACAAGCCCACATATATAAGAATGAATGATTTACACAATCAACCCATATATTTAATTAGTCTCCTTTTGATCACTTAATTAATTCCAAATTAATTCTTGATCAATACTAATTAAATAACCTTATTAATATATTAGAACTTATAATATATTAACAAACCTTAAGTGTTATTTCTCTCATTTTAGTCTATCTAAGTGCATGATGCCATGCAACCCAAATGGACCATGCCGGGTCGGGTCAAGTTTTACCAATTATAGTTATGGACTTAGACATTAATCCAACAGTAAGCCCATAGTATGTTAGATGATTGTATCTCTCCGGGTCGGGGTCCAATGTCGGGGAAATCCCAAGGAAGATTCTCATGTTGTATGTTAGATTTTACTTGTTGTCTATGTGATATTTGCATGTGCTTGGTAAGGAGGTGAGTGTGGGCGAGGTCCCGTATCTTATCACTAGCTAAGTATGGATGGGGTTTCATATCTCACCATTAGCAGACTAGTGGCGATGCCCATAATAGGAATGGAGTGACTGTGGGTGGGGGCTCATCTCTAACTACTAACAAGAGCATGGACGGGGTTCCACAACTTGAGTAGTAGGACAGGGGCGAGCCCTAGTTAGGCGAGGCCTTAAATCAAGGGACAGTTAGAGAGTTTTTATTTATTAGTATGCTATTTGATTGTATGTATGTGTGTAGCGGGCGAGGCCAGGAGGCAGGCGGGGCCTAAGAGAGACAGATATGTATACCGAGTGGGGCTCGATGCCAGGTGGGACCCGATTCCAGGCGGGGCCTGATGTCGAGCAAGGCCCGATGCACTGGGCGGGGGCCCAGTACGTGGTTATGTGTTCATGGTTATGCGTATACGGTATGTGGTAGGTCGGGGAACTCACTAAGCTGCGTGCTTACGGTTTTCAGTTTTCATTGCAGGTACTCCAGGTAGAGGAGAGAAGATTTTGGGTTGGAACATACACCAAAGGAGTTTTAGCCTGGGATGTTTACTCTGATAAAACGAACAACTGTTTTGAAATGATACTCTGTTGAGTTATATAATCATTTAGTTATGGCTGAAATGACTTAATACTTATGGTCTTATTAACGTTTTAAAAATAAATTTTTGGTCATGATTTTTGGGATGTTATAGTTATTCCTCCGGTGAGAGGGAGGAAATCACCAAGTGGGGCTCAACTTTTTTATCCTTTCTCGATGCTGATGAGCTGTTCATTTGGACCAGCTACATTCCTTTTTTTTTCATTTGCATTTGTTGGCTCAAAAGAGACAATAATGCCATTGCCTATTGTATTATTTTTTTAGAATCATTTACTGAAATGATACACTATTGATGTTTCATTATGTATAATATGGTGCATTTGCCCTTTTTTTTGTTTTGGTCAGAAAGAAATATATACACTATTCTTGTACATTTTATTATCATTTGAACAATCATGAGCTGTAAAATTATTCAACTTTTGAGGTTGGGTTTGATTTGATGGATTTTTCAAGTGTATAAACACCATAACTGTGTGTACATGCAGTGGCTTCAGAGAATGAGACTAGCTGCTCTCACTTTTTTCTTTTATCCATTGAAATTAGAAAAACATATATACTTCTATTGTATTCTTAATAGAGCGGCACAACTTATGAGTTTTAATTTTCGAGTTTTGTTTCTAAGATGTATTTTGGAGAGAGTGGTAAATATGAACATGGCTCTTGGAATTTTGTTGATTTTTATTATATGTACAAGTTTTGTAGTTCTATGTACAAACAATAGTTCAAAGGATGTTGTCTTGCATAGAAAATCACCAACTGAAAGGGATTTCCATGTGATATGAACTGCTAAGAGTTTAAAAACTCATAAAACTTTCTTTCTTCATCCCAATTTTCTGAACACGTCCCCAAAATATGAACAAAAACTTATTTCAAAGGCTTTTCTTATGCTTGAAAAACATTCTGATTAGCTGAGAGTGGATTTTGTTGATCATATTAACTGGAAATGGTGTAAGAACTTATGGAAATTTCAGTTATTTCCAAGTTGTTGGATAAAACACCAAAATATGAACAAAGAATATGTAAAACCTCATAGAAACTTGTTGTCTTCCTATCTTCCTGAACAACCCGCCAATACATGAACGAAAATTGATCTAAGAAGATCTGTGCAAGCTTGGAAAATGTTCAAATGAGCAAGATATGGAGACGATCTTGAGATATGAGGCTTGAAACGAAGTAGATCTAGAGATCTAAGCATTCGGTAAACAAATTTGGTCAGATCTTGGCGAGAGCCAAACAGATCTCAACAGATGATGGTTGAAATGAACAGATATGAGTAGCCATGAGGCAAAGAGCAACAAATCTTTACATTTGGTAAGCAGATTTGGGAAGATCTTCGTGAGGGTAGGACGGATCTGAAGTAAAGAATAACAAATCGAAACTGAAACTGAGGTTGATACCAAGAGACGATAACTATTTGCTATTGGTCCTATGGATGGTGCCAAATGTTGCGACATCTCACCTGGTCTTCGGGACTTGTAGTCTTGGATCGGGATTGGAGATCAGGGTGTGATGTCGTTTGCGTATTCCCGACTTGATTACTTGCAAGAATCACAACAAATCGTTAGAGCTTCCCCAAGGCCTGAGCCATTGAGCAGGCTCCGACGATCAAGTAAGATCGATGTCGAGGATGCACGGGTTTCTACTAGCTAGAGAAAGCGACTTTGTTTTGTGGGATATGAATTTAGCCATGACAGTTGGTTAGAGGCTAAGAGACTAAGGGGAATTCCTAAGGTTTAGATCTCTAGGAAAATTCCAAAGGAAGCTCCCTTCTATGGGGGAGAACATGTTCTATTTATGGGGGACAATTAGGTCTAAGGAGAGTTAGGTCAGGCCTTGGGCCGGCCCAACTCAGGCCCAACTAGCAAAGAGTTGGGTCAGGCATTTTGGGATCGTCAGGAGAGCACCAGGAGTGGTCACTACGCGAGTGCTAGACAATGATGGCAGAAAGCACCAGCAGAGCGCCAGGTTAGGCTGACATGCCAAGTCTTGATGTCTGGACCATGCTAATGGATCATACGTGAACAGACATCTTACAAATATCTTTGACAAATTTAACATGTAATTATAACATTAACACTATTTTTGTCCCATCTTTCAAATGTACATTTCCTATTCAGAGCATTCTTTTCACTTAATTCCTTTATAACAAATATCAATATTTCATATTTACTCTTAAGTTCTTATATTTTTTGATATCTTGGACAATTTACAATCTATTCCATAAAATCATTACTCAAACACAACACTACATTTACTAATTTGGTTACAAAGTTATTAAGTTGATTTTTTACCAAAACAATATCTTTTTTTTTTTTTAAGTAAGTAGTTTCTAGTTAATTGTTTAGTTGTTGTGGTAATCTTGGTTGAAGATAATTCTTTATGGTCAATGTAGATAGGAGAACCTTTTTTGACATTGTGTGTTATTATAATAACAATACACTTTATTTGCAAGCTATTTTAGGAATATCATATAAAGAGGTTTGCACATTTTCGTTTTTTAGCAATAGTTTTTACAACCTCAAAATAGTAAATAAGATCAATAGACAAAGTAGGATGTTAGTCATGAGATAACATTTATCCTATGTATTGTCGGATGAGAGTTTGAAGAGACTTGAAGATAAAGTAGTATGCTCTCTCAGTTGGATGAAAAGAATCCCAAAACACGTAGTTTGAGACATTGGTGCACACCGGTGATTTTTGATTACACATGAAGTTAGTTTCAATTAGTCCACTCCCACAACAACCTCTATGGACTTCTTCAAAATCTTTTAGGTTAACAACAAGAGAAAAGGGAGCTTGTGTTAAACAAAAAAAACATGTTCCTTATACCAACAAAATCGAAAACTATGTTATGTATCAAGTAATGGTAGTATTAATAATGGTTAATAAAAATGGTTTGAATTGCATGCTGGGTAGTGGCAACATGCGCGAAAAATAACAAACTAAACTCATTTCTGTGTTTTTTATTTTAGGGGAAAAATTACTTAAATTTTTGTTTTCTACTAGAAAATTCTTAAAGCAAAATGATCATTATATATCCAGTTATATATGTAATACCAATCTCCAATCATATACTTACCATTTTGACGGTTTCTTGTAACCATATCCATGATGGGCTTGTATATATCAGCATAAATAATCCTTGTATCCCATCTTTGAACACCCTTTAAGTTATTTTCCAGAAGTTTATTATAATCTCTTGAAATGGAATTAAAACGTTCAATGCATTTACGACTATGAATAGGGTCCTTGGAGTTAGCGGTAATGATAGCAGGCAAACATCCAATTGGAAGCGCACTCACCACCCCTATTTTCTTTGCACCCTCATCCATCAAGCCTTGTCATACAAAATAACAAGAATGATCAGTTTTTAGGTTGTCTATCATTTATTACAAAGGATGTCACCTATTCCTAAAATAATTACCTATGGCTCCATCAAGACTTGAACCCATGATCCCTTAAAACACAAAGGACGTGTTAAACCGGACTGTGCTCCCTTAAAACACCAAAATAACATTAGGATTGAATGAGTCAACCCTAAAAAGTTTTCTGGGTTATTTGTGTCATTTCCTTTTGTTTTAATTAGTTATTTTAGTGTTTTTAGAACCTTGTACATTTTGGTACAAAAAATAGAGTTTTTTTTTCTTTATCAACCCCAAGAGGAATAGCGTAAAAAGGGAAAGCAAAACTTCAAACATATTTTTCCGCTGATGTTTTCTACATGTTGGCAACATCCAACGGCCAATAGAAATATTGTAACAAAATAAGATAAGGATCGACTACTAAATTCACAATTATCCAGTGTCGATTGATCTGAAGCATGTCTATATTATCATACTTGAATATACCACATCTTTAAGTGTGGTTTCACATTTCATAAAATAAAAAATTACTCTACTTTTTACCAAATGGACGTAATAAGTCAAAGTTCCCTGTATGGGAAAAAATAAACGAAAAAAGGCATGTACTTTTCTTCCAATAATATTCCTACTTTTTTTTTTGAAATCGGCAAATATATTAATCAAAGAAACCACATCAAGCTAATGTGGGAAAACGAAAAGTACAAGACAGTCAAAAACAAAAACTACAGACAAAGAGTGGGGCATAAATTCCAAACTCTCCAATCTACATTTTTGCATGGAGTTCTATGCTTGCACCAAGTAAACGTCATCGCTTTTATCTTTTCTGTTATGACCGCCGATGAAGTGTGAATCTGTTCGTACACCCGTTTATTCCTGGCTAACCATAAGCACCATAATGCTCCATTAAAAATCATATTCAAAAGCCTCTTTTTTCTATTACATCCGGAACACCTTGAGACGAATAGTATCAACTCCCTTACCGACGTAAATCTTCCACAATTGAGTTCACACCAGGATGTTATCGAATTTAAGACTGAAATCGCAATTGGGCACGTAATCAAAATGTGGTCCGACGTCTCCTCTTCCAAGCTGCAACCACTACATCTAGTTGATGGGATAGTGATCCCACGCCTACTAAGTGCCACCGCCGACGGAAGTCTACCTTGTTTTGCTCTCCACATGAAGGAGAGAATCTTGAACGGAGTCCATTTCCCCCAATCGAACGGTCCATCACATACAACAAAGTCGGCTAGTTCAATCCTTTCCCGTATCTGAGACACCATGAATCGTCCGTCAGAAACAAACTCTGATTTCCACTCACCCGCACCCACGTTCCACGATATTATATCTTTGGGATCAATGTTGATCGTTTGCAGAAAAGATCTTGATTTGATTATGTTTTTCCATACCCCCGTACTCGATTTATTCGCGAACACTGACCAATGCCTTCCATCTAACTTATGCAAACATCGAATAGTTTTTGCCCACAATGATGAGTTCTCAGATTTCAAACGCCACATCCATTTTGCTAGCAGTGAAATGTTGATAGATTTAATCGAACCTAGTCCGATCCCCCCAATCGTCCTTGGAGAAACGAGCTTATTCCAAGCCACCCAATTAATACTTTTTTTCTCGTACACCTTGTTCCAAATGAAGTTTCTTCTAATTTTTTCCAGCGTGTCAATCACACCTTTCGGGACTGCAAAGATTGACATGTAATATATAGGTAAGTTGCCAAGGACCGCCTTAGCCTGGGTTACTCTACCACCGAAACTTAAAGATTTCGCTTTCCAAGTCGTGAGCTTATTTTGGAACTTTTCGATAACCGGTCTCCATGCTCGCTTCTTGTTCATATTTTCGCCCACCGGAACTCCCAGATAAGTGAAGGGAATGGATGAAGGTTCACACCCAAGAGGAGCCGCCCAGTTTGAAACTTCTAAATTAGGTACCCCCACCCCATAGACTTTTGACTTTGTGAAGTTCACTTTTAGTCCGGACGACACGTGGAAGCATCGTAATATTCTTGATAAATTCGCAATGTTTCTCCTTGACCATTCGCCTATGAATAGCGCGTCATCTGCATAGAATAAATGAGACAAGCAAATGTTAGGTTGTGAGAATTTAATTCCTTCAAATATTCCTTTCTCCACTGCTGATATCATGGCTTGATTGAGTCCCTCCATCGCGATTAAAAACAGAAAGGGAGAGAGTGGGTCACCCTGTCTGACCCCTTTTGTCATTGGAAATTCTTTAGTTGGGCTACCATTGATTATTAAAGACGCCCTCCCAGAACTCAGACAGCCGTTCAACCATAATCTCCATTTCAATCCAAATCCCATTTGTTCCATGATAGAGTCCAGGAACGCCCAATTTATCGAATCAAACGCTTTATTAAAATCAGCTTTAAAGAGTAGTATCTTTTTGCCTTTAGCCTTTGCCCACGAGCAAAGCTCGTTAACTATCATTGGTCCTTCCAGTATATTCCTTCCTTCCACATACGCTGATTGTACCTCTCCAATGATGTTACCAATCATGTTTTTTAATCTGATCGCCAACAACTTCGCAATGATTTTATATATCGATCCAATCAGGCTTATTGGTCTGAAATCTCCGAAGTGCGTTGGATCCTTAGATTTCGCCACTAGAGATATGAAAGAGGAGTTACATCCACACGATAGCTTTTCGTGAACTTCAAAATACTTTACCATCCCCACCAATTCCTCTCTCAACAGCTCCCAAAACTTTTTTATAAATTTAAACGTGAATCCATCCGGTCCCGGAGATTTTTCATCCCCACATGCCCAAACTGCTCTTTTTATTTCCTCTGTTGTAATTCCAGCTTCCAAGAATCTAGCATCAATTCCAGAAAGTCTTTTAAAACCTGGATTGCAAAATTTTGGTCTAATAGGCCATCTTTCTTTAAATTTATTCCTAAAGAACTTTTCTGCCTCCATGTTTCCACATTAAATAAGCATATGCTTATGGGGCGAGTTTAATGTTTCACTGCTCTATATTATGTTCTATTCCAAACGTTAAAATCAAAAACTCTGCTACCTCAACATCCGGACGTAATTAATGAACGATATTAATTAAAGAATTGTATAAATATTTTAGACAGAAGGAAATAAGAATTTGAAGAACAGTAAGAAGCTTTCAATATTCTCCCACAAGAAATTCTGATAACTTAAGATGGTTGAATAGGCTCTTCGTCGAACAACTATGGCCCCATAATAGTTGAAAGCGAAGTCGTTTGTTCCTGAACTCACGATGTATATTGCTCTCCTAATCAAATCATCTGCTCTCTCCTTACCAATCACCATCGCCACTTTTCTTTTATAGTCTCTGAATAAGTCTAATTGTTCCAGTGAAGTGCAATCACAATGGACCATGCTAAATCGGTTCAAATACATACCAAATACAGTTATGCACTTACACTACTAGAAAACATGGGGTCTTCCTACGGAAAATAGCTACGAAAAATTTTCGTAGCTAATTAGCTACGGAATTGCTAGGGATTAACTACAGAATGGGATGCCCTAATTTAGTAACGGAATAGCTACGGATGCTAATCCGTAGCTATTCCGTAGCTAAATAGCTACGGAATGGCTACGGGATACCTACAGATACTATTTACCTACAAATTAGCTACGAAGTATGCTTTCCGTTAGAATTCTGTAGCTAATCCGTAGCTAAGTAGCTACAGATTAGCTACGGATTTTTCTTATTTTTGATTTTTCGAAGTCGTTTTTTTCGTTTCGTTTTTTTACACCTCTACTATACATGATTATCTATATTTTCACTAACCTATAGCTATTAATATCGTTCATAAAGTTGTGTGCCCTTTCGGGATCAAGTACTCGTTTCACAGTTTAACATTGTAATGCCTATACTTTTCACAAACTTCTGATGGATTATATATATATATATATATATATATATATATATATATATATATATATATATATATACCTGAATGAGTTGTAGTATATGTGTATGTGTATATGTGTATGTATACGTGTTTGTGAGATGTATGTGAACGTATTCAAAAGCATTATAGTGTTAAACCACTAAACGAGCAATGATTCTCGTATGTGCACATGGCTTTATAAATGATATTAATAGCTATAAATTGGTAAAAATATAGATAATCATGTATAATAGAGGTGTGAAAAAAACGGAGCGAAAAAAACGACGTTTGGTGCTCGAAAAATCAAAAATAAGAAAAATTTGTAGCAAATCCATAGCTAATTAGCTACGGAATAGCTACGAAATTCTAACGGAAAGCATATTATGTAGCTAATCCGTAGGTAATTACCTATGGATTAGCTACGGAATATGTTTTCCGTTAGAATTCCGTAGCTATTCCGTAGCTAATTAGCTACCGATTTGCTACGGATTTTTCTTATTTTTGATTTTTCGGGCACCAAACGTTCCTTTTTTCGCTCCGTTTTTTTCACACCTCTATTATACATGATTATCTATATTTTCACGAATTTATAGCTGTTAATATCATTTATAAATGCATGTATACATACGAGATCCATTGCTCGTTTAGTGGTTCAACACTATAATGCTTATCAATACGTTCACATCCATCTCACAAATTCATATACATCATCATCATCAACAACATCAACATCATTGATGAGTTATAAAAACTTTTTGATCGATTAGATCTTTGTAACAGGTAAATACTGAACATAAAAACAATGAGATAAAACACAAGTATGGATCTGAATGAGTCGAATGATTAGATTACTTAATCCTCAGCAGAGCTCGATTAAGAACTTCCGCTGTAGAGGATTCTAGGGTTACAAAAGATATCTTAAAAACAAGATGTGAAATGTACTCCAAAAACTGTATAAAAATATGCATGCAAGCATCTATTAATACTCAAACCCTAACAAACAAATCATGGATGGACAGGCCCATACCGGATACAAAATAGGGCTGTGAAACGAGCCCATGACGCAACACACTGCTCCCAACAATCTCCCCCTTTGTGTCAAATGGGGCGAGACTCTACTTCGGCTTGCTAGACCCTGCCACATCAGCTTTCTTTGTGAAACTGAACAGGTAGGGAATGATGG